CAATGTTTGGAACTAGAGTAGACTGAATATCTGACTGAGGTAAGGTATTTTCATCTTGAACGACCGACACCTCTGGCAAGTCAGTATTTACACCCTCTTCACGCTCAACTGGATAGTCAGAAGTTTCAATCTGAATTTCCTCATCAACCTCCTCTGTTTCTTCTTCAGTTTCAGTCACTGGAACATCAGTAGATGGACCAGATAACTGTTGCTCAGTTGAATATTCCTGGACAAATCATTGGACTTATTAAATTTATTATCGAAGTATTCATCATAAAAATTCTCAAATAAGGAATCTAAATCAGAAAGATCAGAATTCGAAGATTCAATTTCATCTGCTTTCGGCGAAGTATTAATTATCAGCCCGGGTCCTGAACCGTTTTGTTCAGAAGCCACATCAATTAATTCATCGAATGAAAAGTTGACGCTCTCATTGATGATTTTCGTCCTTTTATTGTATACTCTGTATGCAGCAGTCATTTTTGAGTAGCCTATGAATACAGCTTCATCAGCCTTCGCAACGAACTTACCTCTGTCCTCTTTGTCATTTAAGATAAAACACCTGCAACCAAGCACTCGAAAGAATTTGATATTAGGTATTCTTTTATTTATAATTTCATAAGGAGTTTTACCAAATCTTTTATGTAGAAGAGATCGGTTCTAGGTAAAACATGCAGTTGCCACTACTTCATCCCAAAGGAATAATGGAAGCTTAGAGCAAGTGAGGAGTGTACGCGTCGCTTTCTTCAATGTTCTATTTTTCCGTTCAACTACACCATTCTGTGGCGGTGTCCGGACTGCTAAGAAGGTATGTGTGATACCAATGGATTCTAGGAATGAGCCGAGAATATTGTTCTTGAATTCAGCTCCATTATCAGTTCTGATTTTCTAAACTGTCAGTTGTAGATTAGTTTGAACAGTCTTCAAGAATGAAGTAATTGTCTCAGCTGCTTCGTCTTTTGACCTCGGAAAATGAACCCATGTATATCTGGAGTAGTCATCGACAATGACTAGCATATACTTCTTTCCATTTATGCTTTGGACTCTCATAGGACCACAAAGATCCATATGGAGTAGATGAAGAGGACGTTCCGTATTGAACTCTGTTTTCGACTTATGTGAAGCTTTCTTCAGCTTACTCATTTCACATGCACTACACACATGGTCTTTATGAAACTTTAAGTCCGGGATTCCTTTAACCAAGTTGTCACAAACCAACTTGTTCAGATATTTAAAATTCAGAAGAGAAACACGTCGATGCCACAACAGATTTTGCTTCAATGATGTTGTTAGCTCTCATATTTCATTTAATGTAAAAGTATGAAAAAGTATTACTGCAAGTGTTGACAGAAGGGTTCTACCACAGAAGACCACAGAGGATCAACAACAGAAGATGATCGTTCGTACAAGTCAAGATTGACAGAACCTTCAAAGAGGTTCTGGAAAATGATCCTTTGGCATCAAAAGTGTACAAGTCAAGTATGACAGAACCTCTGTTGTCTCTCACAGAGGTTCTGGAAACTGATTCTCTGTAATCAAGCGCTTACATGTCATATCTAGCAGAAAGGTATATCCAAGAATACTGGCAATCTTGTGCCGTAACCGAATCTCAAAGAGGAATTGTTGGAGATTTTTATGCCTCTGCCGCATAGGAATTTATTACTGTTCGTATTTCAAGATCCATGTGGGGACGAGATAGTGGCATTTTTTAAATTTCTAGGGTACAACAAGGCAATCCAGTACCCATCACAATATCATTGTCAATACCTACCACCAATGTGGAATACACTATTCACATTGGTCAACAGATCGCTGACAGGTAAGATTGGGAGCCTCGACATGTGCTCAACGAACGTTCTTAAAATCGTTAATGGCATCTTCTTCGACCTATCTCTGGACTACTCCTTGATACTCTACACAGAGTTCAAGGTTGTTGTGGCCAAGAAATGTCAAGAGGTGGCCAAAGGGAGACAATTGCCATCTCTGCTATTTCCACGGTTCTTGGGTCTTCTCCTAAGACCTGCTATCGACGACAACAATATTGATGTGGTTCGTCTACCTGCTCACAAGGTGAACGAGCTCACTCAATACCGGCCTACAGTTAACAAAGACGGATATGCAGCAGAGAGGCCAATCACAAAGAAGCTCATGGGTTATATGAAGACAAAATAGATCATAAGAGCGTACAGACGTACACGCGATGTAACACCCCGTCCCACGTGGTCAAAGACGGGAGATGCCACAAGTGGTTTTAAAAAAAACATTGCATTATATAAAACAGAGCAGCTAATAAAATTTACCAAAAGATAATTACATAACCACAGACGGAGATAACGTGTCTCAAAATATGGTCCCAAAATACCAGTATATCTACATTAGTCATCAAAAGTTTAACAAAAGTATGACTTAATGAGTTATCTTCAATATTGTCATCTCCGTAGCTCTCATCCCAAAATCCCTGCTAAGTCATGTACCTGCTGAGGACAAGAAAATCTCAGCTGAGCTTAATGCTCAGTGAACGGATAATAATATAACTAAACAATGAATATCAGATAACAAGTTCGAAAACAATTTATAACGCCAAGTGATAATCCAAAAGAAAGTCAAAATGCCCCAAAAGCATGTCAAGGGTCCGAAGACCAAACCGCATCACGAGGA